TATTTTATATATATATATATATATATATATATATTAATTTTATAAGAATTGTATATATTGTATAGCGTGCTAAATTTTTGCAAAAGAGTTTGTCTGGTGGAGTTGGCTCCAACACATATCCATTTAAAAAAAAAAAAAGAGTTTGATTCTCGCTGAAGTCAATCTGTTTGCCTTTTTTTATATATTATTTTTGCATTATAACAACAAACTTTCTACTCCTCACCTATCGTTCTTAAATAAATATAAATAAATAAAAATTCTCCTCCAAGAAAAGTACTTTCTTCATTTAAAACAAAACAAAAAAAACTTCATGGCTTCTTCTTTCTTTTAAACTCTTATTTTTTGGTAAGTAATAATCATCATTCATCAATCTCTCCTTGGTTCTTTTTTCAATCCTTTGACAATTTTTATAATTCTTTCAATTTCAGGAATTTCAACACCAAAAAGAGAAAACCCTAATTCCTAAATTCATAAAGACCACTCAAAATCAGATAGTCATATTCAAATCTCAATTCAAATTCAGGTATGTATCTAAATTTCAATCTATTCTATATATTACATGACTTATTTTATTAAATTATTATCATGTTGATGATTGGTTATATGAGAATATAGTTTTTAGAAATATTTTATTAAATTATTAGCAATGAAGATGTTGAAGATCTAGACATAGAAAATGATGACAATGAGAACGTCACTGATTTATTCAATGAAGAACCAAGCCAATCCATTCCATTTGATATTTATAATCTAAGAAATTGGGATAATATTGATCCCAAATTCCATGACCTGTTAGTGGAAAAATGTCATGTAAGAGATCTATTAATAGGAAAATGTCGAAAAGATCATTTACATAGACGTTTCTTTTCAACATTTTACACTTGTCATTATCATTTACACATACGTTTCTTTTCAACATTTTACACTCGTCATTTGCCAAATGGAGAGCAACATGATAGAGATTGGCTAGTGTATTCAAAGGATCTGAACACAATATTTTGTTTTTGTTGTAAGTTATTTTAAAAAAGGGCCACAAAAAAGTCAGTTAGCAAATGAGGGATTTAAAGATTGGATACATCTTAGTGGCAGACTTAAAGATATGAGACAAGTATTGAACATATCAATCATATGAGCACTTGGATTGATTTTCGTATTATATTGCAGAAAAATAAAACAATTGATGGAGTTGTTCAAAACCGAATCAAGAAAGAGAAAGAGCATTGGAGGAACTTATTAAAAAGATTAATTTCAATTGTGAAATATCTTGGAAAATATAGTTTGGCTTTTCGTGGAAGTAATGAGAAGATCCATGATATTAACAATGGAAATTTCTTGGGCCAAGTTGAAATGATTGCAGAGTGGGATCCAGTTATGAAGGAGCATGCGTATGGATGAAATAGACTCATTATCATTATCTTAGTCATAAGATTCAAAATGAATTGATACTTTTGTTAGCTTTTCAACTCAAAAGTGCAATTATTAAAAATATTGAAGAAGCTAAATATTTTTCTATGATTCTTGATTGTACTCCAGATGCTAGTCACCAAGAACAAACGAGTTTGAAAGTAAGATGTATGGATGTCTCTACTAATCCAATAAAGCTTGAAGAATTCGATTTAAAATTTTTGATTGTGATTGAGGCAACAGGAGAAGGACTTATTGAAAAGTTGTAAAAACTCAAACTTGATATTGGTAATGTGAGAGGACAAGGTTATGACAATGGATCAAATATGAGTGGGAAATACCAAGGTGTCCAAAGAAAATTTTTGAAAGTAAATCCTAGAGCATTGTACACACCTTGTGGTTGTCAAAGTGTTAACTTAACACTTAGTGATATTGCAAACTCTTGTGGATAAGCAAAAGACTTTTTTGGAGTCATATAATGTATTTATACATTGTTTACTAATTCTACAAAACGGTGGAAGATATTGAAAGATAATGATAAACACTTAACTCTGAAATCGTTGTCAGTTGCACATTGGGAAAGTCGTATTGAAAGTGTAAGAGCAATAAGAATCCAAGCTCCAGATTTAAGAGAAGCTTTACTTTAGCTAGCAGAAAGCGACGGTGACTCCAAAATAACAAGGGAAGCAAATTCTCGGGCAACATATGAACTTGGAAATTTTGAGTTCTTATTGGGGATGGTTATTTGGTATGATATATTAGGTGCTGTTAATGTGGTTAGCAAAAACTTACAATCTGAAGACATGCTTATTGATGTTGCTATTGATAAAGTGAAAGGGTTGATTACTTTTTTGGAAAAGTAGAAGAATATGGGTTTACAAAAGCTATGTGTACTGCTAACGAATTGCTACTGACATGGGTTTACAAAAGTAGAAGAATACTTGTGAGCCATCCCTATCAGATCCTGAATCAACTGAAGAAAAGTTTAGAATTGATTATTTCTTGTATTTAGTGGATCAAGCTATTGGTTCTTTACAAAGAAGGTTTCAACAATATCAGGAGTATGAGAATGTTTTTTTCATTTTTGTTTACTTCAGAGAAGTTAAATTCATTGGATGACTGCAATTTGAAGAATTGTTGCAGTCATTTGGAAAGCATTTTGAAAAATGACAAGTTTTCTGATGTCAATGGGGAGGATTTATTTGTTGAGTTGAAAGTTTTACGGGGGCTTTTACCAAAAGAAAATATCACAGTTACTGCAATATTAAATTTCTTGAAAAGATTAAATTGTTTTCCAAATGCATTCATTGCAACTGCAGAAAGAAGTTTTTCAAAATTAAAATTATTAAAATCATACTTGTGATCAACTATGTCGTAAGAAAGATTAAACAGACTAGCTTTGATCTTATAGGGGCACAAGGAGCTTATTTTTGTACCAAACATTTGACTTTATCAAATGGAAACATTTAAATTTTTATGAATTTGATTTCTAATTGTCATTACATATTTATTGATGGTGACTTTTAGTTATAAAAAAATTATTTATGACATTAAGTTATGGCAAATTTTTATTTATAGTTTTTTTGTATTAGATTATGTGAGGCCCCAATTTAAATTTCACACAAGACCCTCAAAATCTCAAGGACAACCATGTTCGCAAGAAGAAGAAATATCTCCTTCTTAGGTACGGCTATGTATTAGCTCATACATATATCATCTTACGATGCACGGGTAGGCATGCTTGCAATATTAGAAGAAATATCTCCTTATCGATAAAAAGGCAAGTAGTATCCATCGAGCAATGACACTTGGTGACCGGTGGCTGGTGTGAAGTGAGATAAAGACAAAGTCGTATATCATGATTCATCGTGACCAACATATGCAATATTATGTAACATAACAAACTGGTGGGTAGGCACGTGCATGGCTAGCTCATACATATTATTACACACAAGAACAGTTAGGTGAAGATCACGTGACGCGACTTCAGCCCACGCATATATCATCTTACTTCTACTCCCTTTTTATGCTACCAAAACCTGTTGCTCTTTCTCAATTCTAATTCTTCAATTATATCTTCTTTTCATATATTTTATTATATTTAGTTTGGTTTATATCTTCCCATCGGATTTTATATTCTCTTGACTCCCTTTTCCACTTTTGATCTAATAAAATTATGTTGCCTTTTTATCCCAAAAAAAAATAACATCCAATAGTTGTTGTAGTGTTTCCTGTTGGTAAAAACACTCAATCCAACCAATGTTAGAGTGGAATGGGCTCTGGTCGCTTAAGCAAGTGGTCTCGGATTCGAGTCCTTATGGATGCAGAAAATTTTCTTGGAAGAGGTCCCCGCATATGCACCCGACAGTACCTCGGAAAACACACTCAATCCAAAATTGGATACACAGCCATCATTGCATTTAATATTTACCCCCAAGAAAGATTGTGATATTCTATTTCGGTCAAAGGCCTTGTATGGTTTTCACAAGTGACGCGATGCAAGATTTTTAAAAACAACTCCAAATCTCCATACATGGACGCATCAAATTACTTTATATACATTAATAATAAAATGAATTAATTTGTACAAAATTCTTCTGAAATTAAGTACAATCCATGTGCTTGAAACCTCCTAACAAAACAGTAAACAGAGAGGATTTTAGAAAGCCAAAAGGGTTTGGTAGCTAACTAAGGTGGTTGGTGTGAGTGGTTCGGCACTCTCATTCCTTAAGAGAGGTCAGGGGTTCGATCCCTGCTCTTGTACGGAGTCACCATTTTGGCTAGCATTTTACCCCTTACGGGCCGACCCGGTGTGAGCGGGGATTAGTCTGTGTTGTGGTTAAGGCTTAAAGGTGCCACCCGTAGTTGGGGCCATCTTGGTTCAGACCAAAAAAATAAAAAAAAGGTTTGGTAGCTGTGCGGCTAATGAGACCGTAAGAGCTGACTCACGAGCCATGAGGTAGTTGGACCGGTCACCCTAATTTTAACACTTAAAAACTCAGTATATAAATCACAGAACCTAACCAACAATTTCAAACATCAAATTCTTTTTCTCACCAACACCAAAACCACACAAACAAACAGACCTAACACATTTAAAAAGCATGGCTCCTGCTACTACTCTCACCTCCATTGCAGGGGAGAAAACCCTGCAACAAAAATTTGTCCGGGACGAAGATGAGCGCCCCAAGGTTGCCTACAACAACTTCAGCAATGAAATCCCGATCATTTCGCTTGCCGGGATCGACGAGGAAGGCCGCCGGGCCGAGATTTGCAAGAAGATTGTGGAGGCTTGTGAGGATTGGGGTATTTACCAGATTGTTGATCATGGAGTTGATGCCAAGCTCATCTCTGAAATGACCGGTCTCGCCAGAGAGTTCTTCGCTTTGCCGTCCGAGGAGAAGCTTCGCTTTGACATGTCCGGCGGCAAAAAGGGTGGTTTCATCGTCTCCAGCCATTTACAGGTAACCCAAAATAGAATTCACGAATCACAACTCCAAGTCTCTTGCTTTGATTGATACCATAATAGAAAAATATGAAAGCTTAAGCTGTTAGAACATGAACGGGTCATTGTTTTATATTGTAACACATTTGGACTATAATTTTAGGGAGAAGCTGTGCAAGATTGGCGCGAAATTGTGACATACTTCTCATACCCAATCCGGCACCGGGACTATTCGAGGTGGCCGGACAAGCCAGAGGGATGGAGAGAGGTGACACAGAAGTACAGCGACGAGCTGATGGGGCTGGCATGCAAGCTTTTGGGGGTGTTATCAGAAGCCATGGGATTGGATACAGAGGCATTGACAAAGGCGTGTGTAGACATGGACCAAAAAGTTGTGGTCAATTTCTACCCAAAATGCCCCCAACCCGACCTCACCCTTGGCCTGAAGCGCCACACTGACCCAGGCACAATTACCCTTTTGCTCCAAGACCAGGTTGGTGGCCTCCAGGCTACAAGGGATGGTGGGAAGACGTGGATCACCGTTCAACCAGTGGAAGGAGCCTTCGTGGTCAATCTTGGAGACCATGGTCATGTGAGTATTTATGATTTACGTTGCTACTTAAATCGAATTAATTTTATTTGCATAAGTTACTTAAATCGAATTAAATATATTTTACACAATTTATTGTCACATTATGATGCAGACATAGGTTGGGTTAATTTGATCTACTTTTTAGAATAAAAATTAATAGGTTCATGGTGGTGGGCAGTGGTCATTTTCTTTATATCTTCCTTATATTTAATAGTTTGTTGACATATTGGTGGAGCTATTAATATTTATTGATATGAAGCTATCAAACTATCAATAATTGCGTGTGTTGTTTATGTCCACACGCATAAATAGTTAGAAATCACTCACACGAGCGCATAGATAAGTAACATTCTTTTATTAGTATTCATTTGTCTGCATTAATTTATGGGAAATAAAATCAATTTAATTGATTGGTTTTGTACACAATTGTAACGTGAGCAGCTTCTGAGCAATGGGAGGTTCAAGAATGCTGATCACCAAGCAGTTGTGAACTCAAACAGCAGCAGGCTGTCCATAGCCACATTCCAGAACCCAGCCCAAGAAGCTATAGTCTACCCACTGAGCATCAGAGAGGGAGAGAAGCCCATTCTAGAGGGGCCAATCACCTACACAGAGATGTACAAGAAGAAGATGGGCAGGGACCTTGAGCTTGCCAGGCTAAAAAAGCTGGCCAAGGAGCAACAATCGCAGGACTTGAAGAAGGAGACCAAGTCAGCCGATGATATTTTTGCTTAGCCAACTCAGTTTATCTCAAAGCTTGCTCTTGTTATGCTACTGGATACTTGTACCTTTGCCTTCTACTTCTTCTATGTGCTTATATGTGCAATTTGCTTAATTAGTGTGTTTGTGGGCATTGGAAAAGTTTGGTCAATTTGTGAGTCATTGATGCCAATGCCCCCTCCAGTGTTTCTTTGTCATATTTTATGTTAAATTAATAGATTAAAATAAGGGAAATTTACTATTATACCCAATATAGCAGCCCAAATTATAAAAATACTCTATATAAAATGGACTTTAAAAACACACTCAAAGCCCATTTACAACATAAGAAAGAGACTTTAACTTCTTATAAATTGCAAAATTGCCATCGATTTCTTAAAACAAACCTAACCCCAAAAACTCATTTTAAAAAAAAACCAAAAACACTCAATAAGACATCAAAGTAATTTAATAATCAAAATTAAATTAAATACAATCAGCTGTTATTTTTTGGGTTTGTTTATAGAAATTAAATTGTGTAAGGTTTATTTATATTTTTTGTGATAAGAATGGGTATATGACTAAATATCTCTTAAAAATAATTTCACTAAGCACACACCTATAAAATCATTAGGGCAGTGAGCTCGCTCCCTTACACCCAATTTTGAATTCCTCTTCTCATATATTAAAATAATTTAAATTATTGCTCGTATAAAAAAAAGACTAACTTGAGATTTGTCAAAGATCAAATTAGATTTAGACCTATGAACAACCCATACACAAAAGCACCAAACCTTTTGGCCTCCTGAGATGTATATGTGGTTACCAGCAATTCTTTGTCTTAAAATAAGTTCCAAAATATTTGGGACGCTTCATTGATAGGCCGAAAAGTCACCCCCATGGAAAATGGTTTTCTCAAAATTACTTACAGAAGGATAAAAATTAAAACGGGTTCTCCAAAAGTTATTCACTTCCATAATCTTGCTGTCCCCGCAACCAAAATAAGCCCAACCGCAAAAGCCAACAGGCCCCATCATAAACTAATGCAGAGAAGATGTACTATAGTGATAATTAAATGAAGGCACTGGCGGATCATGAGTTTTTTTTAACGAAATTGCAATTTTTTAGTGATGGAAGGGTGGTGGGGTTCTGGTATCGGAGAGAGAGGCGGTCATAGTGCGCGGTGGGGTAGTGATCATTAAATGAAGGCACCGGCGGATTATGAAGTTTTTAACGAAATTGCAGTTTTTTTGTGGTTGAAGGGTGGTGGGGTTTTGGTCTCTCAGAGAGAGAGAGAGAGAGGGAGGTTGGGGGGTGGGGGGAGTTGGTGATGGCATTGGAGATTGGGATGTTGGTAATGGGTTGGGTTTTCATCACTTTATTTATTTAGAGTGCTGCTATTTCCACCCCTGTTCTATTTTCCCACTCACCATATAAATTTTAAAAACCACAATCTTATTTTTCCACCCACCAATATTCCTAAAATACCATTTTAATTATTATCTCATTTCCTCTCTTCTTTATTCTCTCCGCTCATGTCTTCTCTCTCTCTAATGGCACACACATCTCTCTCTCATTTTTACTGTATCTTATTTTCCATCTCTCACACTCCATCTCTCTCTGTCTCTCATATTTACTATACAAACTAAAATTGTTTTTTGCTATTATTTTTATTATTTTTATTTTTAAATATGGATTATGTGAATATAATCATATTTAATATTTATGCTCTTAGCTTTCTACTATTGTAAATAAACTTTTTCTCAAAGTCCACGTACTACAACCAGAATATTCATCTCCCTAAAAAGAGAAAACAATAAACAATAGTAAGAATATCCATCTCACTAGAACAAGGCCCAAATCGTAGAAGTAATATAGCAGTAAAACGATAAAAGAAGCAACTTCACATCACGAAATTTAATGACAATGGCTGGTCAGCAGGCAAAAGATGACCAGCCCTTGAAACCAAAACATGGCTCACGCTCCCCAATTTCTAAACATACCCAGCAACCTCTTTACCCACCTTCCAAACTATCTGGTCCGCTGACCAGCCCTTGAAACCAAAACCTGCTCATCACATATTTATGTAAAATATCCCCCACCAAATCACTACATTCCTCTAAAACCAACGATCCAAATCGTAGAATTGTTTATTCATCCCCAGAATTTCAGATTTTTAATTTGTTTAAGAATAAAAATCAGAGTCCAAGAAATACTCATCTCCCAATGCTTTAAGTAATCCTAAAGATCTTAGAAATTTCTGTTCAAATAGGATTACCTTACCTTTTTGCCAAAATCGTTCTCTTCAACATCCATTCTCTTGTTGTTTTCTTCTTCATAAACAATTTGATTGAATGAATAGAAAAGAGAAGAAAATTATTTGAGAATTGAGTTTTGGGCACTGTTCTTCACCTTCTCATGAGCAAGGAGTCGTATTCTTGTGTATTTTTTCTTCCTGTCAAACGATAAGGTTAAGTGAGAACTTGAGAAGTCTACGTCTATTTTTTTTTTTTTTTCTCTTTCTTTTTCCTTAAGTCCTTTTAAGTCATTTTACAATAGGGTTAAATTTGTCTTTAAAAGTTTAAAGATAAAGTGAGTAGGAAAATAGGACAGGTGGGTGGAAATAGCAGCACTCTTTATTTATTTATTTATAATATTTTTAAGTTTATTTTAGGGAAGTGTTTGTTTTAATTTTCAAATGTTTATTTAATTAAATTTTTATTAGTGTTTACTTCATATGGATAATTTTACCCCTAAATTTAACGGCAAAATTGACAAGTTTTGGCGGTATGACTAATTTGATACTAAATGAAGAGTTGGGGGACCAAAATGAAACTGGAGCAAAAATTGGGCGACCACTTCGGTCAATAACCCAATTGACAATCAAATATCCTTACAATTTAAACAATATCAATGTCATTCATAAGTCATAGAAAAAATAGCATTACAATTAGCCAATAATTATTACCGACGAGGTTTCATATCATGAAAACGTCACCTTATTACAAAAACTAAATTGGCATTTGCTAAATAAGAAGAAGAAAAAAAGCATGATACTTATTTTGAATTGCAGTTTGGTCAAGAAGAAAAATAGAGCGGCACTACCAGACTTAAATTTGCAGGTTGGATGGCAATCTTTTATAAGAAGTTTTTTTTTATATATAAAAATAATAATAATTGAATAAAGCCTTTGCAGCCCACGAATTGCCACCTTTTTAAATCTGTTTATAATCAATCCTTTTTTAAGGCCTTTGCATTGCATACCTTGGGTTGGACTCGTATTAAAATGCTACTAACAAATCCAGCAAAATAGTAGTCATGATTGTTAGACTAGCTTGGAGCTGAATTAGACATGAGTCGTGACCCAATCATAACCCATATAATCCATATAAGGATTATAGTGGAAAAAACACACACGAAAACGGAAAAAACCAAACCAAAACAAAACAAAAAGACAAACATAACCCAATAAGCTTCTTTATAGCAGGAAAATCTAGTTATCAAAGGTCTTTAAAAAGTGCCAATGAGGGTTGGTTGAGTTGGTAAGGATCGTTCTCTTCGTTATCAAGGTCTAGATTCAAGTTTTGTTGTTGACAATCCTTCTTTAAAAACCCAAAAAGGAACTAAAACTCCCTCAATTTTTTTAATCATAAAAAACGAAGTCTTTAAAAAGTCACGAGCTAAAGCTATTTTTTTGTTGGTCCATTGAGAACCAACTATTGTATCTAAAAAGTTCAAATCACATGCTAAATTTTGTGAAGCGCACACACAATCACACATTACAAACTCATCTCTTGAGGTCGGTGTTGGATTGGACCTTGTCAAAGTGTAACTTTAATCTCTCTATTTATAATTGTTCGTAGGAATCTCTTTCGGATATTTTATCACAAACACCAATAAATAAATAAATAAATCATAATTGAATTTCAAAACTCATAATGACATCTCTAAATTCAATATTAAAGAATTGTAAACTTGCTATAATAATATTAAAGATGCATTTGGGGCTTAATTAATTTTGTCTCCTAATTAGTTTCAGTGGTGTGTGTGTGAACAAAGTAAGTGAATGAGATTAGGCTTTTTATAGGATTTGGTGATGAAAGCCGCATATTAAAAAAGTGGGAGATTCTCCAATCTCTTTCCCAAAAGCCAAACTCAAAAAGCTATGTGAAAGCCAACGACACACGCATCTTCATATATTATATCCCACATGTTTACATTGTATATATGTCGATCGTTTCAAATTTTGAAGTGGAGACTGGAGAGTGAGACTTACAACAAGTCTTGTTACTTAACTTAATTTCTAGGCTGATAAAGTTTCTAATTAACCAACTGCAATGTCTAAAGCATAAGTGGAAATTTCCTATTTTTACTTTAACATACAGAATTCGCATTCAATTGTAGGAGAAAATATTTGATATTTTTTTGGTCGAAAGGGGATATTCAATAAAACTGGAACCTCATCCAAAATGGGGAGAGCACATAATTACAAAATAAGCAACCCAGTAAGAAAGCACAATAGAACAACTTCGAGTCAATCTGATCGAATCGCTTTACCCGATTATTAGAGAGGTGGGTTGGCCTAATAATGAGCTGGTTTTGAGTTCAAAAAATCATAAATCACTATGTATGGGTTGACTTACATGTTGTAACCAAAATTAAAAAAATAAACTTAATTTTAAGTTAACACAATCGAATTGCCCAACATGATTATAAAAGAGTTATATATTGAGTTGGGTTACGAGTTGAGACCAATATTGATCCAACCCAACCAATACCCAATTTTTCTTGAACTGTTGTGGATATATAAGTAGAAGATGCTTATTCAGACCCAAAAAAACATATAAGAAGAAGAAGCCACGTGCACGACGGGCACATCACTGCATTGATCTGTGTGTTTGTCCACATCCACATGTACAAATATTTTACAAACCTCCAATAAAAGGTGATTGGTTTGTCTTTATAATACTCTGAGTGTGAAAGCAAACCAAATTGTTGTGTTCATACGGCTGAAAGTTCCTAATTCTTCAGTTAAAAATTGTTTTATTTTTTTGTTTTATCACTCTGCAAAAGTTGACCAGTGTTTTTGAGAATTATTGGTTCGACTAGGGCCCAGGCCAATGCACATATGCTTGCTGGTCAAAATTAAACAATAATATATTAATAAAATAAATATAAAGAAATAAATAATTCTTTAAGTTATTAGTTTTTTCTTTGTTGGCGTTTTTGGCTAAAATGTTTTTTGTTTT